GAGTTGTCCAGTTACCGTTGTAGCCAGTGGTGTATGCTGCCTTTGTCGACGCTGATACACTATTCTCTAGCAGCCGTGACATTGTGTTGTTCAAGCCCACGTTATTTACTAGGGGTCTGGGCAGTTCAACACATTTGTATTGGCCTCGGGTTATAACATCAGGAATTTCTGAAATTGCAAGTGAGACAAAGTGTGAGCTGGGATACGTATGATAAAACATATTAGAGCCGTTCCAATTGGCACGGAAGGCGAAGTTCAGATGTCCTAGTAACTCGAGCAATTCCCTCTTTGTACAAGTCGTTTTACTCAAGAATGCCTTAATAAATTCAGAAATTTGTTGTATTTTATCCTCGGGAAGACGGGCTTCCGTTTTCTCGGAATCTAGGATGATCCCAAGATATTCCAGGCACGTTGTTGGTCCTATGGTCTTAGTAACTGCCATTGGTATATTGAGCCTGTTAAAAATATGTGTTAACAGCACCATTGTACGTTGTGTGTTATATCCAGGGGGTGGATCCTCAAAAAATCGTCTTATAAATGCATTATGTAGTGAATTTTGTAATTGTAGTGTGCGATCCAGCATATAGCCCTCGACAAGTTGTCAAATATTTTGGGCGAGCTTCTCATACCAAATGGTAACTTCGGACAGATGTAGTAATTGTCTTCCCATTGTATAAGCAATAAGTGCCATTGGCTGCATTTAACGGGTATGACCTTAAAGGCGTTAGCTATGTCGACTTTACAGAGTAAGGCGCGTGTTCCTAGCTTGGTGATCGTTTTTTCTGCGTCATCAATTTTGACATATTTAAGGGAACACATATCCTTGTTTATAAGGTTATTTTATGCTCTGATGTTCGGCATTGTCATGTGGCGCTGACAAATCATATATAAGTCTTTTCTTTTTTGAGAATATCCCCTTGGGAATTCCGATTGGATTTTCTGGTAGGTGTCAAAAGGGATACGCTTATACGGTCCCAGAAGAATTCCATTCTGCAGCTCCTTTTCTATTAATTCACTCACAACTTCTGGTTGAGACCTGGAGGATAATAAGTTTTTACAAGATAATGGTTGAAGATCGACGTTTTCTGCCACAATATCGAATCCATGTCTTAGCCCGTTACATAGATAATTAACATATACTGGATGAGCGTGGTGTAAAAGTGCTTTTGAAAAGTAGCAAATTTCTCTTCATGTAGGTTATTTGTGGTTTATTATTCTACATTGATTCTGAAAACATTGGTGTCTAGATTTTCAGCGATTTGGAAATATTCCGATTTATACCCCCCTGGTGTAATTTTAATTTTATTAGGAAAGTCATATATAATTCCTAGAATATAGAGCCAATCATCTTGAGTTTTACAGGTAATCATGTACTTATCATGTCCTACCATTATGACAAGTTTCATTAAAGTTGATCAACTGGTTGCTATGGAAATGAAGATCATATGTTAAAAAAGTACACATTTTCGTCAAAATGTAAGACACCCCATGAGACGAAACACATATTATTTTCATGAAATTGGGAGGAATCACCATGAAACCATTTTAGAAAACTTATTACTTATAGAGTATGTTTGATAATATTAAATCAACTGCTGTTTTATCTTATCCACACAGTGGAATCTATTGCTCATGATTATATGGCAATGCAAATATATTTAGAAAGTGGCACTTTTCCAAAGAATTCTTTATTTGTGTTCAGTTTTTTGAAGAAAATAGATAACCATTTGTCCTGAAATTAACAGATATTATTCACATCATTATGTTTGGCTATCATGGAAAGTTTCATCAGTGTTGGATAACTGGTTACTATGGTATGCAGATTTATACCCCATTGGTATTATTTTAAGGGGGGTACAATGAAAGCCATCTATAATTCCTAGAATATACAGCCAATCATCTTGATATTTACAGGTTATCATCCGTCTACATGTCCTACCAGTATGACAAGTGCCATCAATGTTGGTTTTTTGGTTGCTATGGTAACATAAATCATTTGTTAAAAGAGTACACATTTTCGTAAAAATCTAAGACTCATGCAACCTTGGACATTAAGCACATAATATGTTCATCATTTTGGGAGAAATAAGCATGAAAACATTTCATAAAACTTATCACATCTCATCAATCACAACAGTAGACGTTTTATTGCCATCACTGGCCATCAACGGACATGTTTTACACTCAGAGTTATAGACCTTTTTTACTTTCACCAACTTCGACAACAGAGTCCCTATACCGACTTGATTACTGTAAATCGATACAGTAATTGCAGATTTACAAAATTTATTTTTGAGCATAAACTCAATACTTTCACCGAAATAGAGATAACGATATAATTTACTATATGAAAATGACTGGAAACCCGTAATTTATCTTGTTTTTATTTTACTTTCACCGAAAGTCTGATACTTGAACATGGTTTACCTGTAAGGTAAATATAAAACATACAACTGAGGATGACTATTGTGCATCGTATTGCTAATTACAAGCCTAGAAAATCTAAAATTCAGACGGATTTTCTTCAAAATGTTTTTCATTTTTCGAATATCATTGGACCCGACAATGTCGATATCGTTGTCGATCAAGAGCTCCGACATGTCGACATTAAAATCCTATTCGATGCCAGCTCTACAAATCATTATTATTTTTGACCCCATAAACTATATCTTTTACCTTAAGTTTGTAATCAACTTTTCCCAAAAGGCTTTCGTGCGTGTACAATTAAAAAAATAGTGTGCCGTATTATTTAGGTTATTACAAAAGTCACAAATTTCTGATTCCTTTATTCTGTACCTCTTTAAAATGACATTTGTGGGGTATATACCCTGTAAAATTTTCCATTGCATAGTGATGAGTTAAGTATTTTTTTTATACTTGCTTGGCAACGAGCCACTTTGCTTTATTAACAAAAAGATTCCTTTCAATATTAAGTTGATCCACTATTTTGGATCTTATTCATTTTGAGGTTAATTTTAAAATGTTAATTTTACTAAAATAGATAATCTCTGAGTGAAGTAGAAAATCTTTCTGAAGCACAAGACGCAATGTGGAATATTCAAACCAAGTGAGACCATTCCGTGGGATTATGTTACAAAGGACGAGTGGCTTTAAGACTGTATATAAGCGCTAGCCCCCAAGATATTTAGAAAAAATTGTACAGGATATCAAAGAAGAGACTTTGTTTGATAACCAGATCCCAAAATTAGGTCATTCTGACCTTTACGTTTCAAAATATAGGTCATTCTATTAACGTGTATAAAATGACCTTTTCAAGGAAAAATCACTTTTTCCACATCATTATTTTCAATGTTTCTATTTATTATCAAAGTTATCATTATTTTCAGTCATTTAAGACTTTTTAATTGATCCTGTTGCTATTATCTTACATAATAGTGATAAAGCATATTGGGCAATATTCGAAAACATATAAAATATAACAAGTCAAAAATACGAACAAAATATTGAATAGTGATCTTCTTTATACTTCATTTAGAACAATTGTCTACAAAAAAAGTTTGCGAAACTATGTCAGAAAAGAATATTGAGTTTTTTTTAATTTACATCACAATGAGAAAGAACAAGGGGCAAATTTTAAAAGCTTTTTGCTTTTATACCCCTTGTGCCTACAACCCTACTCCCAACAAGGCATGTACAACACCATCCAGTGATTGCATCAATACTATTACATACATCTGGATCTGGGTTATACTCCACCCATGTATAATGAGATTTAGAGGACACAGACCGATTACTGGACTTTTACACAAATTAGGCCATATGTATCTTTTTAACAACGATGGTATATTTCCCATCTACTTGAAGATGGTCATCTGTGCATCGTTTAAATTGATCGGCTTGATCACCTGATCTCAAGAGTGTCTACTATGATTTAGATGTAACCCTCTTGTCTTCATACAGGGGGTACTGGGAGATTGCAGTTCACTCATGCAGTTCCCTTTGCTTTGGGCATTTTATTAGCAAATGTCGTTTTTCTGCCTACTGATTGTGACTTACAGTATATTTCTTCTGTACAATAAAGTTGAGCTGGATTTCTAAATATGAACATTGGTATGATCAGCCAGTGAACTGACAGTGATAATATAAAAAAATTATTCATACACAAAACATCAAAATAAAATGAAAATTAACTGTTCCAGTGGCCTAATGGATAAGGCACTGGGCTTTGGCACTAGCTTTTGGTGGTTTGAATCTTGGTCGTGCCCTAGATTTTTTTCTTTTTTATTTATCTCTGTGCCACAATATTTTATTTAAATCTCTTTTTATACAACATAAAGTCATATCTATTAATTTTGGGGTTTTAGATTATAGATACATCGTCTGTGTGTTACTTTAAAAAGTAAAAAAGAAATGGTACATTTTAGAGAAAGATAATCTGGCGCCGTTTTTATTAGCTTTTACTCCGAGTGTTATTGGACTTCAAACAGAAGTGAAGGTTAACGTTAACGCTCATCCGCATCACTTTTCTGATTTAGGCCTCTTAAAATTAAAAATGGCTGCCTAATGTGGAATTTCACAATAATTTCCTAATCTCTTAAAAGATAATGGTTATAATATACTCAAATTAAAGGAATTTTGGAGATCATAATTATGATAATTTTTTCTGAACCATGCCTCGGAATATTCAAAATGGCTGCCTACAGCAGGAATTCACTACAAATTAGAGATATCTTCAAAGTAGTTTATATATCAGAAGATCATAGATATTGTATTGTCTTTATTATTTGTGTCTAAGTTGATACTCCCAAATGGTCAACCAAATGCTTATTATCTGCAAATTGATGGTAGAGTAGTTGGTAAATATGATGAATGGATATGAATTTATTTGTTGGGATTTGCTACTCCATGGAGTTGCTAGTTTCTATTTTTGGACAGTCTCAGGGTAAATGTTAAAGCGGTCATTTTGACTGTGTGATTCTGTCCACTCTGTATCTTGTTGTTATATAATGATGAATATGATTGATATGTTTTAATTGTAGGTGCATTGCTAACTGTTGAGCACCTACCAGCAAAACTTTGTGTTGAGGTAACCTGGGGAGATATCAATGATCTAAGGGATGGAGATAAGTAAGTAATATATATTTTGAAAATATGTTAATATATGATTTTGTAACACATCATAACAAGTCATATCTTTTTTTTAAAAATCTGTTCATTTTGATGATTTGTGAACATTGACTAATGACACAGTATTTAATGAAAATCAAGATAAATAAAAGATAACACCAACTCGGGCAAGGCTACAGGACACCCAGTCATTTGCATGCCAAACACTATATATGCTGCTATATTTAACAAAGTATATAATGGAAGCTTTTTAATTAAGGAGTTTTAATGTCACATCCTCACTGTCAATCTGCCGTTACTTGGGGAGGATGGCCAGTGGCAGCAAGCTGTATGGGAGTTCTGCAATAGAGAGGACAGAGGTAATTTTTTATATATATGTCCAGTTGTATACCTCATGTAAAGTTCCTTGGGAAGAGTGGCCAATGGCAGCAAGCTGTATGGGAGTTCTGCAATAGAGTGGCAGAGGTGATTTATATATATGTCCAGTTGTATACCTCATATAAAATTACTTGGGAAGACTCGCCAATGGCAGCAAGCTGTATGGGAGTTCTGCAATAGAGTGGACAGAGGTAATTTATATATATATGTCCAGTTGTATACCTCATGTAAAGTTCCTTGGGAAGACTGGCCAATGGCAGCAAGCTGTATGGGAGTTCTGCAATAGAGAGGACAGAGGTAATTTATATGTATGTCCAGTTGTATACCTCATGTAAAGTTACTTGGGAAGACTGGCCAATGGCAGCAAGCTGTACAGGAGTCCTGCAATAGAGAGGACAGAGGTAATTTATATGTATGTCCAGTTGTATACTTCATGTAAAGTTACTTGGGAAGACTGGCCAATGGCAACAAGCTGTATTGGAGTTTTGCAATAGAGAGGACAGAGGTAAGTTATATATATGTCCAGTTGTAAACCTCGTGTAAAGTAACTTGGGAAGACTGGCCAATGGCAGCAAGCTGTACAGTCAAGAGTTCTGCAATAGAGTGGACAGAGGTAATTTATATATTATACATCCAGTTGTATACCTCATGTAAAGTTACATGGGAAGACTTGCCAATGGCAGCAAGCTATATCGGATTTCTGCAATAGAGAAGACAGAGGCTCGTCATGGCAGCCATTTTGAATGTCTTAAGAAAAGTTAGCACGCGATAATACTTTGTATCAATTTGAATGGTGTTTTTGAGTTTTCATGCTTAAAATATTTAAAATATTTAATAATTTCAGGTGCACTTTTTTGCAAAAGCTTATGTTATTGTTAACAGTTGTTATATGCAATAATTTTGTAAAAAGAAATCAGCAAAAACTCATAATCACTTTTTTTATTGTCGGCCATTTTGAATTTTTCCATCCTAAAATCTTTTGTAAAGTCTTGTCTACGCATATTAAGGTAAACTGTTTGGTAGATCAATTTCAAATTTTCAGGAATGATTCTTAGTTTTAGTTTTTGATCTGATAGTTTTTTGGCATTCTGGGTAAATGTCAAGGCAGCCATTTTGGATTTTTCGTCCTAAAATCGTGTCTGTAAAGTCTTGTCTACGCATTTTCTGGTTAACTTTCTGATGGATCCATTTCAAATTTTCAGGGGTGGTTCTAAGTATGAAAATCTAGAAGTGACTAAATCTTTGGCATTTTTTGTAAATTTTAGGGTGGCCATTTTGAATTTTCCGTTCTAAAATGTTGTCGGTAAAGTCTTGTCTACTCATTTTCAGGATAACCATTTCTCAGATCAATTTCAAATTTTCAGGGATGATTTTTAGTATGAAAATCTAGATCTTATTAGTTTTTCTGCATTCTGGGCAAATGTTAAGGCAGTCATTTTGGATTTTCCGTCCTAAAATCTTGTTGGTAAAGTCTTGTTTACTCATTTTCAGGATAACCATTTCACGGATCAATTTTAAATTTTCAGGGATGATTTTTAGTATGAAAATAAAGATCTTATTCGTTTTTCTGCACTCTGGGTAAATGTTAAAGCTGCTGTTTGCCCAGAAACGCAATCTAGGGTCGTTCCAGGGGTGAACTTAATGATTTTGAGCTTATTAAAGATTATACAATGATGAACAAATGGGGCAAATCTCGTGTTAAAATACTCAAGATAAGTGTGTCATTATAGAGATTGTTCTTTGAATTGCTTCGATTGTCAGCATCAATATGATATTTGGAATGTTTCTAAATTTAGAACATGACGTCACTACCAAATTATAACACTTAAAATAACTAGCGTTTAATACTCGTCTTGTTTGTACAAAACTGGTAGCTAAGCGGTAGAATGCTCCCTGAGTATGCAGGCGGCTCGGGTTCGAATCCCGCGCAAGCACTTTTATTTTTTAACTAAATCATTGTGCATTGATATTACGCAGAAATAAACAATTTTTATTTGCACCAACTTTATACCAGAGCTTGAAAATGTAAAAATAATATATGTCAACATATTGCGTATTGGAGCGATATGCAGGTTTAAGGCAGCAATTTTGGATTTTCCATTTTAAAATCTTGACTGTAAAGTCTTGTCTATGCATTTTCAGTTTTAAATGTTTCAGGGATCAATTTCAAATTTTTAGGAATGATTCTTAGTATAAAAATCTAGAACTACTTAGTTTTTCGGCATTCTGGGTAAATGTTAAGGCAGCCATTTTGGATTTTCCGTCCTAAAATCTTGTCTGTAAAATCTTGTCTTTGAGTTTTCAGGTTAACCATTTGAGGGATCACTTTTAAATTTACAGGGATGATTCTTAGTATTAAAATCTTGGATCTGATTTTTTTCCTGGTTCAAAAGCTCGCCTATTTTCAAAATGGTTATCATTTTTATGTATCGAAAATCACTTTTGTACCATTTGCTAGCTTTACAGATAATTTCAGGTGTCCTGTATTGTAAAAAGCCATGTCACTATAAAGAGTAGTTGTATGAAATAATTTGTTACAAAAAAATCGGCAAAAAATTATATCTATTTTTTTCCTGCCATTTTAGCCATCATTCACTTTTGAGCAACACCATGTGAGCCCAGTACCCACGGTACTATTTTTTGTATTAGATTTCTTTAATAAGCATGACAATATTACATCATATTCCAATGTGCTCTTACAGTAAGATGGGGCTGGGTTAAGTCAAAGGTGGTTAGTGGTAGATCAGGTCTGCATGAAAAAAGTTTCAAAATGACCAACTTAAAATGTGAATGTTGCTCCTCAGTCAATTGCTTGCACACTAACTTGTCACACATCAGTGTCATTTCTAAATCATTGTGAATAACATGGTGCGTGCTGCTAACACTTGAATCAGTCGCTCCGAATCAGTCATGTCTGCAATTTTTCTGCCAATATTTCTTATATTGCATCAATCTTACTATGGTAAGTTACAGCTTTTGGTCACTCCTGTCTGGGTTCATCTTCAACTGTCTTTCCCCCTCTTTGAAATAGCAGAACCAAGGATATATGCCAGGGGTAGATATAGTGTCCTTCCCATAAGCTTAATAAATTTACTTTATTGTATCCTATTTTGATTTACCTAGGAGTATAAAAAATTGATGCTGATTCTAATTTGTTGCTGAATATTATTGATATTCTGTTTAGCAGCTATGTTGTTGATGACATAATCTATGCAGAGTTTGTATGATGTAATTTCTCCATGATGTCATCTGATCCTAAATTGCTCTGTGGTTTAATTGTATTCTTATGAATTGCTCCTTGATGTCATTTCCACCCTACAATTTGCTCTTTGATGTCATCTGTTCCTTTCTGTGCTAACTTTTTTATAATTGTTCTAATCAATTTTGTGGTTTTCATGGAGAATATGATCTGTAGTTGTAAATAAATAAATATCAAAGTATATATAAATATAAAAATATATTTTTAAATAATAACAAAGTAGAAGAAATGTCAATGCATTTAGTAATGTATATTTTGAACGTATTCTTTGCAAATTGATGCCTGGGGATAACATGAAATAAGCGAGAGTCACGGTGTTATAGCATGACGGTTACGACACCTCTGAAAATGAGATAAGACGACTACAATCACTGATTTATCCAATAAAATGGCCGCAATGGAACAGAAAACTAAGGTTGGTGCATTATTTTCTTCTACAGTGTATCAATGAAAGGATGAACGATTTTTGTAGGCATCGCATTCGGTGGTGCATTTAGTAATGTATATTTTGAACGTATTCTTTGCAAATTGATGCCTGGGGATAACATGAAATAAGCGAGTTTGAAATTCAAAACTACACAAAATTTAGTAATTTGTTTATTTTTGTCGTTAGGGCATGGTCTACAATGCCTAACGACCTCGGGGTATATAGATGTAACCTACATATGATCATAAAAAGCCAATTGAGCATTGGAAACCACCTAATATGTTCTACTTAAGGATGCAGTACCGGGTCAGCGTAACTTAAGTTTGAGACATTAGATTTTGCTCATATTTTTTACAATGTATCACTATGATATTATCATCATCCAAGTGCAATATGAAGAAAATTGATTGTCTGGTTATTTCAATTTAAAATTTTCTTTTACCCGACCAAAATGTTCCTTTTTACATGTAAATCTATCAGAAAGTAACATAATCTGCTACCCTAATATGAAAATCCTCCCATTTGGACATTTTATGAATATAATTTGTTACACAAGATTAAAGTTAACAATGAGTCTTTTCTTGTCCTATTGTTTTAGTTACCATGCACCATTTTTCAAAGATGTGAGTACCGTTGCCATGGTAACTGAGTTATACCAAAACCTGGTCAGACCGACAGGCAGATGGAAACGCCATTTCAAATCTGTGATGATCAAAATATGTCACCTATTGGGTGGTGACATGGTAAATAATAAAGAAAAGTATTATAGAAAACATCACAGATGCGTAGCTGGTTGGGGATTATCGAAACCCCCCCCCCCCATGCTGGAATCTTTTCAAAATCATTAATTTATCTTTTTAATTTTCTCATTATTTTTGTTAGACATATACTTTTGACTAAATGAAAAATTATGCTTTTTTGCCATTTATTGGCTTTTTGTGTATTCAAGCCCCTTTGAGATAAATAGGGATCCTGAAAGGTGCTCACTAGAGACAGGTTTTATTGCACTGCAGTCAGTGGATTATGTGCTTAAAATTGGTGTTCACCAAACTCGGGTGTTCACTAGACACTGGTGTTCACGTTAGAATGATGCTCAAATAGATACAGGTTTAACTACACTGCAGTCAGTGGATTATGTGCTGTGTATTGGTGTTCACTAGAAAAAGGTGTTCTTGAGACACAGGTGTTCATAACACATGTGTTAACAAGAGAAAAGTGTTCACTAGGTACAGGTTTTGCTGCGCTGCAATAAGTTGATAATGTGCTTAGAATTGGTGTTCAGTAGTCACAGGTGT